TCATCATATCAGTGAATTATCTAAATGATCAAAACTTTAAGTGAAGCATGACACTGTAGAGCTACAGAAAACTCCAAGACTGTATTAAAGTGAACTGGAAAATCTCCAGCTTCTCTTACGAGTGTCATAGTGGCTACTGATTTATCCTTCCATTGAATTCCACCCAGCCTTCATCGCATTGCTCAAATTTAGATTGTTTTGGTTGGAAACAACTGACATATACAGCATAACTCCAGGCTTCAACATGTCTCCCCAGAAAATTATGTGTCTCTATGTGTTTCTACAATCAATGATCCTTTCATGCTGATTGACTCCAGCTTAATTTATTGACCATCACCAACATCACCAAATGAATAGTGAAAATAAACCCACAACAACAATTTATTCCTTTCCAAGAATTAAAACTGAAAGCTGTGACTGAGCCCTGATTAATGCTGGTCACGTGTATTTTTTCCATTTATAGCACTGAATCCCTCAATACACAATCATTTCATTGGACTCGTCAATAAATGTTCTGATAGGAAACCCCCAGAGTGTTTTGAACAGGGCGTAGTTCTTTTTCACGTGGGCTTTGACAAACTTTTGGAAACAAATGTGACACTTGTTTTAGTATTTTCATTGATTCAGTGTGGTTTCACTAAATATATACTGACATATGCCTTGTGACCTATTTTGAAAGTGTTTGTGATCACTTTGCAATACATAGTCCATTAACTTTCAGCAAATGTTTAACAGAAATGCTGTTCAATTAGAAATCACAAACAGATTTGCGAGACTAGTTACATACGTCTTAGTAAATACTTCACAATTTTGCATAAGTCAGAAATAAGCCATTCACAGCTTCTCACATGCTTCTACATCTGATTATTTAATATTATATTAATGCACTGACAAATGTGTATCATGTTATACTCTCCCTAAATTGTGAGGAATTAAGGGACCAGACACCATATGTTCCATTCACCCTGCTGACCACCCAGTGTCAGCTGACTGAACCAGCACTAGGAGAAAATGCCCCTTTCCACTCAATCCCAGAGGAATGACCTAAATCTGACCAATCCGCTGCTGACCTCTGAGGCCTGAGGGGTCACCTGGGGTCACCGAAAGGAAGAAATAAAGCTTCCCCTCTCTGCTATGTGTTCTCTTGACAAGACTGAGTTTAAAGGTACAATGGGTAATTCCTGGACACATGATGATTCTGCTCTATTGATCCTTTCTAATCACGTGTAAAGTTAGAGCTTCTCTTTATAATAACTTCATAAATTAAGCTTTTTATGTGTTCCTGGATTAGTGGGTTTCACTTCTTCTGCAACAATTAAGTTAAAAGTACCATTGCCTTGTGTGATGATCTGCAGGGGGGCTTCGTGTTAAGACACAACTGACAAATAAGTGGAATATGTATTTAATTTAAACAACACAAAAACAAACAGCAGTGATACTGTTTCTGTTAATTATAGTGGATGGGCAGATTTTAATATTTCATCATGCGGGGGGGAAAAATCAGGGGACCTGAAACTCCAAGAGAACAATGGTGAGAGAAACATTATTTATAGAAGATTATTCGTACACCTGCTTGCTCTGTCTGAATAGCCCAAGAGGTTAATATGATAGCTGAAGCAGGCAGAGCTTTGGGGTGCTTCATGGCACTTCAGGGTGCTTCGGGGCATTCTGGGACACTTCAGGACACTTTCGGTCGCTTCGGGGCGCTTCAATTCAATTTCATACCCAGCCCGCCCAGTCAAAGACAGGGCAGTTCAAGTCGTGGCAAAAGACAAAAAAGTAGAGGAACGAAATGGTGGGGGGAACGTGAGAGAGAGTAGCTTGTGCAGCTCCATTGATTGACAAGCCCTGGGGGCAACTCTACTTCATCATCCTCTCATGTTGGACTGAGGACAGACTGGACACTACAGTGAATCACTATCGCATCTCAAGGCATAAGTGGCATTACAACATTGGATGGGCCGGAGCTAGCTGGTTAGCATGCTAATTTCCATAGTTTTCTCTGCAACTAAATACATAGATGTCTTTGACATGACTTCAGAGCTGTCACTTCTTCACATTCTGTTGATAATGTTCATGTTTTAAAATGTTTTAAACAACAATTCTGGCCAAATCTTACACATTGTAACTTTAGGGTTTCATTCACAATACGACTTCTTCCTAAATTGTAATTTCTATGAATTACAAAAAGACTTTGAATGATGCTATGTGATAAATATGTCTTTACTTACAGTGTTTGACTTCTAGGTATGTTGTGACAAAATAATGGTGATATGGTTGGTTATATGGTTATAACAAAAAACTTTACAAACTGACCTATGACCCAGAACAGAAACGTATAAGGAACTAGCTCTTTATCATCCTAAACTCAATTTAGATAAAACTTTTGGTAAAATTAGTTAAGCACCAAATTAGAAGGAACGAGAAGCATGTGCATATAAAACATTTTCCTCATGAGTTCTGAACAAATCGTTCTGTCTGCATCTCAGTGGGTGTACATTCCTACAGAAAATACAGAGACTGACCAAACAAGAAATTGACTTGTAGCTTTAGCAGTCCATGTGTACAGAATGTTTGTTTGTGAACAGACGATTTCAAGCCTTCAGATCAAGAGAAAAAAACTGCTGTAATATGTAAGGATATTTGTGGGGGAAAACTTTTGATAATTTGAGCCAAATGACTGAAAATGTATTGTACAAGAAAGGGAAATGAAAGAAGATGGAGATCGTGTGAGCTGGACTCCTAATTAACCTCTGGAGTCAAACAAATGCAAGAACCAGATGCCCCATCTGCACATCTTGCGCATGTTCAAGCCAAATCTGGAACATATTCACACTGTCTCTTTTCAGTGACATCCCCGCAAGGTGCTGTTCAGGAATGTGGGCACTTAGACTTCTTAGAATGAGACGAATTCCAGAGAAGGGGCTGACGCTCAAGTAAGACACTATCCTTGATTCATCTCTTCGTGCCTTTCCCCTCAATCCGGCCCCGACAATTGTTTGAAGTCCTCACACCATGGCAACAGAGCTGGTATGAGTCAATCCTTTAGATAAATGCATTAATGTTATCTTTGGGGGACAACAAAATGTGAGCTGACTATAACTTCATCAGCGCAAATTGGCCACATTGTGAACCCCAACACAGTGGCTTTGACATGGAAATGAGGAGTTAAGTGTGTGAGCTCTGGGCTTGGTGCCTAGTCTGCGCCACCCACAGAGAGTGCCAGAGATCACCATGGAGGTATCCAAATGTAGCAGCCGGTCATGCGAAAGGGCAACGGCTACCTGGCTACTTGGAGGAATAAATTACATTCTTAATATACTGCAATGCAAAACACCTCAACACAGCAATCTCTGTAGGGTAGGAAGGCTAGCTTAAGAAATGTGTATTTCTAAGGGTTTTTAGTTACAGTTGAGCTAAATGATGCATCAGGGAGGGTCATGAGATGACATAGTGGGAAAACTTTGCATATAGTGCCCTCATATGGTTAATGTTAATAACTGCATCTATGTGCTGTGTGCAGTTAAATCATTACTGAGTTGGCTGGCGTTACTGCAACATCATACCTGACCAACAGACAGAGAAGCTAATCTTCACCACCCATCTACTCTGCCCTGTTTACATATGTGCTATTAATTGCAGACCGTTAGAAAAGAGTGTTTTGTGGCATTTGATTCTCTTGAGTTGTAGAAAAATATCTAATGGATTTGAACTTATTTATAAATGTTCATATGAGGCTTTAAAAGGCAAATAAAAAGCAGGGATGAGTGGTTACAGGATGGTTACGACAAAGGTCAGGGTAGAGGCTGTGTGAAAAAGAGACTAACATGTGCCTTGACTTGTTAAGGGAGATAAAGGGAGCTGTTCAGTAATGGAAGGCTAAGTTCAGTGTTAATATGGCCTGCTATGGGCTCTGTCAAAACACCGCTGCCTGCTAAGGGAGTGGAGAGAAAGCAGAAACTGTTTGCATTCCTTCTGTATCTGCGTTAGTACAAATGTGAAGTCAGTATACTCCTACACACTTATACCAACTATGCATTATTTCACAGTGTAATGATGTCAGCTGGGAGGAGTTGGCAAATGACACTGTGGTAATTTCCTGGCACTACAAATCTATACTACAAACTCTTTTAGATTTACAGTTTTCTAGATTTCTGTGCAGTGCCTTTGACTGATTAATTTCTATATGAATTTGGGATAATTTATTTATGAAAATTAATTTAACACCAACTGCCACAATTTTTTTACTATTACTTTACTAAGATATTTTATTTTATTTTCCTTAAAAAAGCACATGTGGATTAAATACATGAGAAACCCAATTCACATATGTAGCACATGTCAAACACCATTTCATGTGTTATTAATTCACAATTGGATTTTCTAAAATTTTCCATGGTTTTGAGATATTTCACACGTGAACAGATCAATTTGCTATGTGCTTTTTGTAAAGGACAAAAGTCAATATGCAAAACGTTTACAAAAGCACCCACATGCAAAGGTGATAAATACTGCTGGTGCTGGACCGAAGTACATGTGAAAAACGGAAAAATAGAGTTTGCACACTAGCTAATGCTCCCATGAACAATTATTAGTATACCACCATGTGATGTTTCGAGCATTCAGATTTGATGGATATGTAATGTACTATTTTGTGTATATTTATTATGTAGTGTATATGTATTTTATACAAATATATGTACTGTCCTTTTCAAATTAACTACTCAAATATAAAGGTCTGTGGCACTAAACATCTCTTCTAATTTCTTGACATTAGTTAATATTTGATTACTTCTACAATGAAAGGGTAATAATGAATAATTGTGAATGATTTTAAATCAATAACAGCATACCTCTTTACTTCTGCTTTCTCCCTCTGCTTCATGACCACAGTTTCTGGCCGTGTGATCGATTTCTGCTCGGGCACTTGTAGCGCCTCTCCTCTTCTGTTTGTCTTTGCCTGGGCTCCTTTGTCTGTGATTGGCAATGAGCTCTCTGTTCTGAAGCAGCTCTAGAAACACATCATTGTCTTCGTCGTCGTCATCATCATCATCATCATCATCATCATCATCATCACATCATCATGATCATCATCCTCCTCCCCTTCAGGTGAAGTCGCTCCATCGTCAGAGCTCTCATTGACATGAGCGTGGCCATTGGCTCCTGAGGGACAGGTATATTGTGAGAAGGTGATGGAGCTTGGTTTGTGCCTCACAATGCGTGGGAGATCCAGGACTCTTCGGCTCGAATCAGGAACATTTGCAGAGACAGTGAAGATAGGAGTGGAGTCCAAATTGAGGATAGAGCACGGGTCCTCTGGAGGCCTAAAGACATGGCCATTTGAGATTGGTTCTAAGTTCTCAAAGTCTGTTTTTACACATCTGCAGTTCAAGTCTACAGTCTGACCAGAATGATTCTGAACTGACACTATACCCAGCTGAGCTGGAGCCAGTGGACTCTGGTCCAGAGATCCTTCACCAGGAATGACTGACACTTGTTCAGGCTCCTGTAAGCACACAGCTCCCGCAGATTCAATGTTGTTATGACTGACACAAGCAAAACTCTTATTCTCCTCGTGTAAGTCCTCATCTGGTTCCATCAGCGAGCTTTGGGCTTCAGGGAAACAGTTATCCCCTCTGTGGTCTGTTGAGCCGTTGGATGAGAGAGCAGAGCTTTCTGAGGTCAGCTCCTGTGTTGAGAAGGCAAATTTTTGTCCCTCCAAATTCACCACAGTGGGAATCTCCATTATTATTTTATACTACAGTTTCTCATAATTCAAAACATAAATCCACAGGTACTTGTGCTTGATGTATCGGATGGCCATTTTTCATCCAAGATGCTCAATCAAACCACACAGCAGATAACCTGGAAAAAAAAAAAAAATGAAAATGTTTGAATGGCATATAACACGTCTGACAAGCACACAAAGATGAAGCCTAATTTGAAAATAGTACAAGAAGATGGACTATACATGCTTCTTAGAATGTTTCCAAATGTATGTGTCCTGTGAACATCAAAGTCTCAGTATGCAACCACAGTTGAATGTAAAGATTCTAATCCAGTTGTGAACAGCTCTTTCTACGTGCCATCCAGCGAGAAGTTTGTGGTGAAATTCAACATCTGACTCAGGCTGGCCTTTTCAAGTCTGGATCTGTTTCACAAACGATCATGGTGACATCACTGCACAGAGGAATCTGACTGCTCTTAACCAGTCGGTGATTTACAACACACTACACCATTCAACAGGACAGATGTTGTCCCTGGTCGACTGTGGTTAACATCCCACCACCCCTTTATTAAGCCCTTCTTTAAAACACTCCTTGGAAAGGTCTGAGACTTCCGAAGTACACATGGAAAAACAAACAATTGCATTATTCGGCTGCAACAGATCAGCACAATCTGTATCTTGTTTAATCACAAACACTTTCCTCAGTAGACATTTTTTTGTAGATGTGATAACAGTGCAACTGAACCAGGACACTTCCAAAAGAAACATAACCTACACAAGACCTGCTGGGTCGAATCAACATGTTTTAAGAGCAAAACACTTGCTTGTATAGATTTTTCTAGAAGAATCAGTGTATGTTCTGTGAGAAAGCTGGAGTTAAAAGTGCCTTTACTAAGACCCTGAGACACTTGACACACACCAAAATAAACACACAGCACTCTTTTTCTTTTAGGACCAAGCAATCAATCAATCTTAGACAAGGACAAAATGCAACAATACATTATATATAATTTATAAATATGGCACAATGATGGAAATTTGGAAAATCCTGCAAATGGTATGTATGTAGTCACAGTTCCATACAGCAACATCAATAATAAGTACATGATGAATTCTATATACTTCTATATACTGCCTCTTGTATAACCTGTCCCTACATGGTGAATGTGAAGTGAGTGTACAGGAGATTAGGGTTCCTTCCAAGAAACCCCCCTTTTGAAAAACACTATGCAAAGAGGGTCTCATTATTCTCAAATGAATGCAGAGCAGATTTAAATAAATGGAAGAAGTCACAGAGAAAATTAACTGGGAGTGTTGACGGGCAAGGCAAGACCACAACTTACTTAAAGGAGTGGGAAAGAAAGCATCCAGTGTTTTCAACGGAAAGCTCCTGAACAAGTCTTCTCATGTAGAATCAACCTATAGTATAACTTTCTCAACTCAGCCAAGGATAATTAGTGAAGAGAGAAATTAAGAGTTGCCATTTGTTTCATCTTAAGGAGATACTAGTCATCATTGAGTCAGATTCTCAGGAAAACAGAAAACAGAAGACTCACCTGCTGAGTGGAAAAAAGTTGTCTGTGTTGCCCAACAGTGTTATTGAGATCATGGCAAAACAGTGGCAGTGAGGCTCGTTCCTGAAGAGCAGAGCGGGTTGGGCAGCCCCTCGCAGAGCCACACTTATGTCCCCATAGGCCTATTCTGCTAAAAGGCAAAGTTGTCATCACAAATATCACGCCCTCCTCCTCTTGTTTCCCTGGGGGCTGCAGGAGTGTTCAGTTAGCAGTGACTGAGCAGGGAGAACGTGTACTTGTTGGGAGATGGAAAGAGGAGGAGAAAGGAGACAGAGGGAGGGGGGAGAAAAGCGGGAGGGAGATGGTGGGTGGGTAGTGGAGGTGATCAACAGCGGTTGGCACTGTAAAAGAACAAGGTGAAATGCATTTCCAGCCCTTACAAACAGGCTGTGAGGGATGGCTGACTTCACCGGCCCAAACCGGAGCAAGATGAACTGCTGCCATGACCTATGGCTAGAAAACACCAGGCTGAGGAATGCTTTCAAGTCCAAAGGGGAAAGCTGTGAAGTACCAAGATATACTGGAGCATATTACACATTAAGATGATATGTCCAACCGAAACCGAAAATACATGTGATTCCCATTTGACGTGAAAGATAAACAAAAGCACATATTCACAAAAATCACAATACAAAAATAAAACACTTGAGCCAAATTTGAGCCAAGGCATTCCTCAGTAAACAATAGGGCTCTAGTGAATCAGTACCAAGTTAAAAATGCATGTCTTAAGAGCCAAGTATACCACATATAGGAATTGTGGGTGAAAGTGAGAGATGAGCATGGAGAGTTGGCATGAAAGGGGCATGTCTGAGTGTTTGTTCATTGGCTGAGGACTTGTTATTTATGCTGCTCCTGGGCTCTCTGATAGAACAGGAGTGTCGCAGAAGTAATTTCTGAGTTCACACTCTGAAAGTTGTCCTTGACTTTATACCGTGCAGGGGTTCATTCATTTGTTTATCCACTCATTCATTCAGTCACCTCACCAGGAGTCAGGTGGTGAAGCCACAGCCACAAATCAACACTTGGACTCAGTTTGACCTCTGGCCAGGAGGGAGAAAATGAGCGCTGACTGACTTTTCTCATTCATAAAAACACTTTGCAATGTGCCTGTGGCTGTCATTCTCTCTCAGCAATGTTTCAAATCTTCCTCCAGTTTTTCTTTTTTTGGTTTTCACAAGTCATCTTCTGTCTCTGCCCTGCGCCGTGAAAAATTTATAAGATGTTGGTCATTAGACTGTCCTGACTTCTGTTCTTATATATTAACAATATGCAGAAATGATTTGTATTTTGCTAACTGAAATTCAAAGACAAAGAGAGGAGGGAATAAATATTCTGCTGTGTATTAAAAAATTAAAATTAAATTAAATAATAATTAAAAAATAATCCATGCTTGACACGTCAGCCATGTAACAGCACTACATCCACAGTTTGACAGGTGAGATAAGGTATGTGCACAAACTTTTAATGTTTCATGATCTTTTGTTCACACTGAGTGACATTCCTGATGTCCTTGTTGGTTATCTGTGTTTACATTTCCCCTGTTGTCTGAATGGTTGCATGTAAAGGTTACAGGAGGAAGGAAGTTTGGCTTCTGTTAACTGATAATAAAAATAAAGTAGTTCAACTCGATGCGAATCTTCCCCGAAAATCAAATTCCTTTAAACGAGTTTATTTATTAAAACAAAATAAAAGCCACAATGTATCTTCACAAAATCTTAAAAAATGATTTCTAGCCTGGATTGTGTACACGATGTTATAGACCAAGTGTGACTGTGCCATGGTCTTGTTTACTCTGTCTGAGAAAGGTAACAAAAGTGCAGGTGCATGTGACTGAGGGAAAAAGAGTGGAAGAGAGAAAGAGTTAAACACAGCAATAGAAAGACAATGTTACGGTCCCTTGTGTCGCCTCTTACAGCATATGCAGCCTTTTCTCTGCCTGGTCTATCTGAGCTGTGGAGGTGAACAGTCCAAGGCCAGTGGGAGTAAGGACAGCTTGGCTCAAACACAGCTGGATGTTCTCACAAGCTAACCTGGGAGGCCCTGTCTGCTCATGGCTCTAGTGGATGTAAGAAAGAAAAAACTACCTTGTTTGTGTCACTGCAAGAAAAACACTGACTGACTTTGCTTCCGCAGGGGACAGAAGGCAGAATCAGCACCTGGAGCAGGGAGAGAGCAAGGTCTTTGTGTATTTAAAGTCACTTTATACTGGCCAAATACAAGCTCTGTCTCTTATGTGCTTTATTCAAATATGATGACTGTCAGCACCATCATTTCTTTGCTCCAAAGTTGGTAGGCCAGTTTCACACTCTTTGTTTGCTTATTAAACAAAGTACAGCTGAGTTTGATGGTAATGTTTCTTTAGTCACATAGCTTATTTGAATATAATGTATTCTAAGGAAAGAGGGTGACATATCCAGTGCAGATTACAAAGCCCTTGCAGGTTTTCATTTTAAAAATTAAAATTAATGTGATTCAAATACAAACTAATGGTAATACTCATACAGTTCTTGTCTTCCGGCCACCTTAAAGCACCTACATCACATTCATACACTGAGGAAGGTCAGCTAAGGTGCCAAATGCTCATCAGAACAGAAATTAACAAACACACACAGATGGAACAGCCATCGGGAAGAAATTAGGGTTCAGTCTCTTGCCCAAGGACACTTCAACATGCAGACTGGAGGAGCCCCACCTCTACATCCTGAGCCACAACCACCCCTCTAAACAGTATGTTTAGATTTAAAGTGCATTATCCTTAAAAGTCCTAACAGTAACATGTTGAGGCCTGTGTGGTTACTTACTTCTCCTCAGTATCAATGCCAAATGCAACTTGTAACTATACATGAAATGTATTGAATTAAACGGAAAACAAGACAAGACTTCCTGCTGTGGATCACCGCTTTGACAGCTATGTCAAGACAGGACTTGGGGGACATGGACAGGTTGCCAAAGAAAACTGCCAGAGATGGCAGGCATACCAAGGCCCGGAAGCAGATCCTCAGCAGGCAGAGAAGCTCACTGCCAACCAGTCCAAAAAGAAGCAAATGTAATTGTGAGAGGATATTACTGTTTGTTTTTGGCTGAATTACAGAGTGATAAGAATGATAATTTCCCTCTCTGTTCATCATTCACTGAAAGAGTGTAGGAGATTGAGATTGACAGAGTTCATGACCCATTCACTAAAGAATTTAACCTGAGGGAACAAAATACTTCTTCAATGAATTATTAATCTCAAACCAGGATGGAATATATACTTTTTAATTTAACTTTAGAATATATTAAACACATTTGTTACTGCTTTGGAATTCTTTCTGGTCTGTTTTTTTTAGTCTTTGTAAAAATATACCAGTTTGACACAAGTAACATATAAAATGACAATATTAATCTTTGGAGTGCTTGTTTAACTGCAATAATAAAAAATAAAAAAACATTATACAGTATATGTATCATAAATCATATGTATACTAACTAAGGTTTGTGTGATTATGTTGAGCATAAAGTCATCAGTAATATGTGTTTAATGCATCACACCAATACAAATAAATGATAAATAAAAAACTGTAGTCTGATAAGCAAAAGAGATTTGATGTCTCATTGAGATGCAGAGGTACAAAAAAGTATACATTCTTGTGCATTAAGTTACCTTTTTCGGCTGTCAAGCAAATTGGCCTAGGGGAAATAAAGGTTTCATTCAAGACCGGGCAGACGTTCTGAAGTGCCTGTGGTCTTCTCATGGCATAGTGAGATTAAAGTGAGGGGAAGAGAATGGAGCCAGCTGTTTTGCTGAAACACATGGCTGTATGGTCGCAGGTTTGCCTGCCAGCAACGCAACATGTTATTGCTACACAGAACAAGCATGAGTCTGTTAAGACAGCAAACACTGACAAGGTTAAATTACATCTACAGTACTCAAAATGATCAAATTTGATATGCTCCTGCAACACAGATAACATTCACAAAATAGTGCATTTATATCTAAGGATAGTAAGTGTAAAAACATGAAAATCTTCTGTGTTTTTATGCTATTGCAACATGAACTTTACCCAGCTGTGGAAAACAGACGAGTACAATACAAAACATAAACATCATTAGAAAACATTCCAGCAATACCACAGTCTGAATGAATAGGTCTGCAGCTCCCCTACAGATTCCCAGCATACCACAGAGCAGATGGTCTGCATTATCACTCTCTGCACATCATATTTTGTTTCCATCCTAAGAGCTGATGAAATCATCACAGAGTTGTTGTGGGTACAAATATAATGGCCATTATGTTTCCACAATTTCTTCCAAATGTAACAGTCAAATTAGAAATGTAATATAGCAGCACCCGACATCCACAATGAAGACAAAGCTGATGAGGTTTCCTTTTTGAGCACTTTGGTGTGTGAGAACACATTAGAGAAAGAGTGTAAAAACAATTCTGGAGAAAAGTCTTATTTGGGTCAAAGATAAATATTAAGAGGACAAAGTCACCTTGTGGTATTGTGTTAAATCTGATGTAAAATAAAAATGTATCCAATAACAATAATATTTCAATACCATCATCCCGGCTAAGCTGTAGGACAAGCTCTCCCAGCTGAGTGTGTCTGATTCCACCTGCAGGTGGATCACAGACTTCTTGTCTAACAGGAGGCAACACTGCTGGGGAAACATGTTTCTGACACCCAGGAGCATCAGCACCAGCTCCCCCAAGCCTGCATTCTTTCCCCTCTGCTCTTCTCACTGTACACCAACAGCTGCACCTTCAGTCAAGCTCCTGAAGTTTGCAGATGACACCACCCTCACTGGGCTCATCTCTGGTGGGATGAGCCTGCCTACAGGTGGGAGATTGACCATCTGGTGACTTGGTGCAGTCAGAACAATTTGGAGCTCAATGCTCTTAAAAGGGGCTGTATGTAGTTTTCAGCAGCCACTAGCGGTGCGGTTTTCAGATTGCAACATGGTGTGTGCTTGTATGCGTGTTTGAACTCATGAGTGAGCATAATCAGACACACAGAGACCAAAACATCGAGACAGCTTCACACAACATGCAGGAAACTCATGTAAACTTCCATAGCAATGTTATGTTTTTATCAGCTTGAGGTTGAACTAATCCATGGTCATTGCATGATAACGTTATATTGACTGCATTTAGCCAACATGATACATGAACATGAACTTTGTGACTTTGTTGCTATATTTAAAATATGATAATAT